TTAATAAAAATTTTGAAAGTAAGGGAATCAATCAAATATAATAGCAAACCTAATGAAAAAGGGATAAAGTTTATATTAAAAATAATGAATTGCTAAAATATTTTTTAAAAATTCTTCTTATGAAAATATTTAAAACTTAGAGATAAGTTAGCTTGTTCTAAATTATTTTCTTTACATCTTAAAAAAGAAATAATTCTTTTATTTGATTAATATAGACACTTATTTTAAGAATTCATAATATTTATATTAATTTATGGTGGAAAAAATATTAATATTTTTATTTATTATTTATTGATTTTATATCTTTTTAAGATATCCTATTTTTTATAATGTGATCGAATAAATTTTTTATTATAATTAAAGTAGACATTATTTTAAGAATTTATTGTATACATACTTTAATTCTTCTAATTTAAAAGAGAGCTCAAATTTAGGACTCGAAAATGGCAAAATAAGTGGAATTTCTTTTTTCCCATCCTTAATTTACCTATCCTTTATTAATAAATGATACTTTAGAGTATATTGTGTCAGGTTGCAAATTAAGATTTGAACTATTTTTTATTTATTTCTATTATTTGAACATTCAAATTTTTTTAATTTCTTTAAAAAAATAAAATATAATGTAAATGGGTTAATTAAAAATATGAAAAGAAACTAACTAAAATGATTATATTTTACTTACTTTCAAATATGTGTGAGGATTATCATAAATAATAGTTTTATCATTAATAAAATTAAAAATTAAGCTTCTATTTCTGTTAAAAGATGTTATTTTTTTCTAGCTTTGAGAATATAAAACTTTACTTAATTACTAATATCATCATAAAATATATTACAATTTTGTTAATATAGACACTTATTTTAAGAATTTATTGTATTTTTGTGGGTGACAAATTCAGATTATCACTTATTACTTATTAATTTCTTTTATTTTGGCTTTAAATATCAAAACATTTGCTTAATAAATGAAATTAAAAAAATAAATCTAATTTTTAATTTAATTAAAAAATAAATCAACAAAATTAAATAAAATGATGTAAATGAATGCATAACTAACTGAGTAATAAAAGTAAGAATTACGCTTCTATCAAAAATTAATGCATTATTTAAATGTTTAAGAAGACATATTCTTTACAGATCAAAACATACTAAATTTTGAGATAAAACGATAAGGAAAATTAACTTTTACCTAATCGATTAAATCAACAGATGATCCTACAAATTTAATTCTTCACTTTTTTTAAAAGAAGAAGAATTACATTTTTATATAAAATGAAAACAATAATAAGCTATAAATTAAGCAAATTGATTAAATTATTAATGACAATAGATTATTTAGTGCTATGTACTGTCTTTATCTTTTCTAAAATCCTACATACCATGTTTTCCTTTCAGTGTACTTAAAAGTATGCAATCATTACATGAGGGTTCTAAAATTAAATAAAATTGTAGGAGATCCTAAAAATATTAAATGGAGAGAATATAAGACAAACTGGGGTTAAGCAACTTTATATTAAAAGTGCTTTTAATATTGTCCAGCTAATTGTGAATAATATTGCAACTAGTGTGTTTATTTTTTCTAAGAATCTCAATTAAATAACACTTTTTTGCCTAAAAATATTCATTAAAACTCTCAATACATATTTAATGATATTTAATATTGGTTTGCTCAGTAATTTGATTGCTTATTTGAGCCTATAAAATTTTTACAGAAATACTAAATACCCATTGATACAAAGGATTTCTTAAATGAATACTATTGTGGTAATCCGTGCAGAGCAGTTTTTAGTACTACTAGAGATATAAATCCATTTAAATTTATTTCAATTTAAATACAGCTTCAAAATAATTAAAAAATAAAGAATTTAAAATCTTTTCAAGAATTATACAAATAAGATGTAAGTTGCATTTAAACACTAAGTATAAATTTTGCTTAGAAAGATATGCCTAAAGATGAAAGACATAGACTAAAGTTTTATGAGTTTATTTTATCATTGTAAAATTTAAATACTCTAAAATTAAGTTTAGATCATCTACAATAATATTCAAATGCTGATAAAAAGAGTTAAGAAGATGTATAGAATTTTATTTTATTCATTAAATAATTAAAAGTAGAAAATCTCTCAATAGATGTAAACTATCTTAATTCCTAACAAATTATAAACAAAATTTTTGATTGCATTGGAAATTATTAATAATAATTAAAGTGTCTAAAGATATCATATGGTGATTAAAATAGAAATTTAATATCAAATTCTAATATTTTCCAAAATATTTACAAGTTGTAAATGATATAAGCTCTTTATTTAAAAAACTTTTATTTATATAAGAGTCAAGCTGACACAAAATTGTAAATTTAAATCATAAAAAAATGTAAGAGATTGTAAAATTTAAATATTTCTTGAAGTAATTTATCTAAAATGAATTATATTATAGTTTTTGTCATCAAATTTTAATTACATTATAATATTTCTTTAAAAATATCATAAATTTTTGGTACTGTGTTGTCTGCACACTTTAATATAACAATATTTTTTATTATTAGTAAAGAAAAATTATTTTTAATATCAAAAAGCTATTTTATTTTTTTTCTTTTATTTCATTTTATTTATACAAGTCTAAAAGTTAAACCTTTTGATAAAGATTTGTTTTTTAGGAAGATTTTTAAATTAGGAGAATTTGTAAAAATAAAAAAAATATTTTTTAATAATATTTATTTATAATTATATGATTTACTAATCAATTACTAAATAAATTTTAATTTGAGTAATAATTTTAAAATATATTCTGAATATTAGAAATTTTAGATTAATTATTTGAATCAAATATTTAGAGAATATTTTATAAAAATCATTAATAATAAAAATATAAATAATGAAGAAAAATAATTTTATTTGATTATAAAATAATTATTTAGCTTTTTTTATTTATTTACATATAATAATTAATTAAAAATTCAATACTCATTTATATTTAATATGGTTGCTATTTTTAATTTAAAATAATTAAACTCAAATTTTAAGTAATTTTACTATTGAATGTTTTTATTATTTTAAAATAAAATTAAATAAAATAGTATTATCAAAAAATTTTATGCACCCAATTTATATAAATAAATTTAGTTCGAGGAAGATCATAAGTATAGATAGAAAAATCTGAATTATTTTTTTTTTACTAATAGATAAGTAAAAAAATAGCTTCTAATTTAAATTTCAGTCAATTTGAAGATTAACATTGATAATAAAATTATTATTCTAAATCACAGAAAACATAATTTTTGATAGATAGATGCTATTAGGGTTAAGATAAACCAAGATAAATATGACATTTATCATTTATTAGGTCTGATAATTTTTATCAAAATGATAATGAATAATAAGGAAATAAAAATTTATTTTAATGGTTAGGAATTAAGAAACAGTGGAAAAATATAAAGAGAGAGATATGGGTTTGTAGATAAAATTATTTTGCATAAGTCAATTTTTATACCTTAAATAAATCTCCGTGTTAAATTACTAAAATGTTTTTTAATATTAATTTTAGAAAAACAATTTAACTTTTTATATATTTTTAATTCTATTTGAGTATCACATGAATTTTCTGCAAAGATAATGTTTTGAGAACTTTATGGTAAATTTATTATTAACTTTTCTATGTAAACTAATTATTTAATGATAATAACTCTTAAATATTTGTAGTACCAAATTATGTCCAGGATTTTTTTAATTAGTTTACTTTTAAATAACATGTAAGCCAAATTTTTCTTTTTATAAATTGATAAACGTCACTTACTGTTTTTATAATTATTGATCCATTACATAGAACGAAATAAGCTTAATTATTCTTATATTGTTAAATAAAGCTAAATTTATCACCATCTAAATGAAATAATATTCTTAAAATTGCAAAAACTCTCAATTTTTTTACATACATACTTTCTTAATTTTTCAGATGAAATTATTTCACCAAAATCTATATATTCATTTTATTGAGTAATTAACAATTTGCATCTAAAGTTTTAGTAGGAAGAATTTCAGCTTTTTGTATTAATATAAATATGCTGAAAATTAAATCAATTCCTAATAGTAATTATACACTATTTTAAGAATTTTTACTATTACAAAATATTTTTGAATATGCTTCTTGAAATCAACTCATAAAATCAAGCTTGTCCGGTTTAAAAAAATAATTAATGATGATTAAGGTTTTATGATTTTTCTTTGATTTTAGATTCATTAGCATGAACAGTACATTTTTCGAGTGTTTTGTTTAAATTTTAATAGAATCACACTTAATTTATTCGTCCATTAAATTATCTAAAGCATCAATGGATGCCATTAATTTATTAAAATATGAAAATACTTTTTTTAGAATTATTAGAAATTTAAAAAGAAATTTTTATTTATTGACATACCTTAATGGTTTCTTTCATTATAGATCAATTAAAATGACATTTTTAAAAATATTTACTTTAGAAAATAAAATTAAAAGATATTTTTGAACTATTTACAATTTAAATTTATAAAAAATTGATTGATGCATGGCAAACATAATTATAATTTCGCTTTTAGATTGCTTGATATTTATCTTTTTAACAAATTTTATTGGGGATCACTATGTTAATTATTAATATGCATAATCATTTTCTAACAATAAATTCTTAGCTAGTTAGCATAAATTAATTTAAATAATTGACTTAAAAAAAACTTACATAAAATTTAATTAAGTAACTCACACATTTTTTAATCACAACTTCTAGGGGTAGGGTAAAATGCAAAAGATAAACAAAATGCCCCACATTTATATTTTTATCATAGTTTATTTTTACTAAAAGTATAAAAAATGAAAGCTATTTTAGCTGTTACATGGACTGCGCTATGACTAAAAAACATTCATGTGTTTTAGAATATCTTTCTATAGTAAAAAATAGATTTATCAATGCAAGTTTTTAGGTTTTTCTCCTCATAATTGAATTACCACTTACTACTTTCCTAATAAATAATATAAGGAATGCATATTTTATGTAAGAAAAGAAACATTAAATTTCATAAAAAATAAATAAGTAAAAAAAATAATAATAAATTAAATCTAAAATCAACTCAAAAATGAAAATTTCTGTCTTTGCTCTCCTTGTCCTAGTTGTATTATCTGTTTTTGCTACTGTTGCTAAAGCTTAAGATGAATAACAAAAAACCGTAAAACTATACAATAAGACTGATTATAAAGTTAAATGCTATATTGGTGAATAAGGCTGCCTATGCTGGAAATGCAAAAGTTATGATGATATTTTAAAATGCAAATATACTTGCCATTGAATAAATAAATACATATAAATTATAATTATTAATTAGATTTTACATATGATAATTAATTTTATATTTGTAATTACAATACTAAAGTTTTAAAAGTAATTTAAAAATAAATATCCATCCTCAAAACATTTCTTATTTTTTCTTTCATAAACATCAATAAATTTCACTATAATATTTTGAGTTTTAAAAAAAATAAATCAAATGAACTAACTAATGATGTTGCTTGAAAAGTAAATAAATTTTTGAAATAATAAAAAAGCGTGATTAATTTTTGGCACTTTATTGATTAACTTTTATGATTTATTTTTTTTAAATACTATCTATAGATCTATTTAATTGAATTCCATGGATATTATTTATACTATTAATATAAGCTTAATTGAGTTATGAGAAATATCAATTTAATTACACTTTTTCTCTTTTGAAATTAACGCATATAAATAGATTGAAATTAGATTATCTTCTCTGATCTTTTTAAGATATTTTTGAAATGAGATTTCTAATTTAAAAAAAAATAGATTGAAATTTATTATTTGCATGAATATTTTGAATGCTTTTGAGAGATTTTATTTTATAAGAAAAAATTTTTAATACATTTGTAAATAAACAACACTACGATGAATAATAATTTATTTGTTACACTCTTTTTTTCCTCGATAAAGCTGAAATTGTTAATATAATTATACCAAACATAAAAGCTAATTAATTGCTTCAAGTAGAAAATTAAAGTTATCACCTATTTATTATTTTTTAAGATAATTTTATTATCATAAATTGAGATATGAATATATATATAGCAGGGTCCATTGGTTCTGCCCCAACATTTTTTTGCAAGCTTTTTTTTTTGGTTTTTTAAAAGATAAAATAGAATAATAGTTAATCAAATAAATAGATATCCGTTGGGACAGAATCAGTGGATAACCATATATGTATATATGTATGTATTTTTATTTATGTGAAATGGTTTTAATTAATTTAATAAAAAGATTAAAAAAAACATAATGAAATTTGGTCACAAATTTAGATTAAAAAACAATTATTCAATAATATAAATTATTTTACAATAGTTAAAAATTTCATTATTATTATTTAAAATTTTATTTAATCAAACTTTGCATCACTAATCACAAATGTAATAAGCTTATAAATTGTTATCAACTAAAATATAGTACCAGCAACTGCAATCAGTATTATTAGGATCATATACAATGCAACATTCTCCAGTAAAAGGATTGCATATTTATGGATAAACTGGTGGTTATGGATCAGTATTATTGTTATTACCACTTCCTGAATTAGTGGAGTTATTGTTGTTATTACTAGGATCAGTAGAGTTAGTGTTTGTATTAGTTGAATTATTGTTATTATTACCGGCATCAGTAGAGTTAGTGTTTGTATTAGTTGAGTTATTGTTATTATTAGCATTGCTAGCATCAGTAGAGTTAGTGTTTGTATTAGTTGAGTTATTGTTATTATTAGCATTACTAACATCAGTAGAGTTAGTATTTCCGTTATTTATATCAGTAGAATTAGTATTATTTTAATCTTATGCTGTGTTGTCAACAAATTGAAGATTTCTGACATTACGAGCAGAGCTCAAGCTGAGTAAAGCAAGTACAAGTAAGGAGACAAATAATTTATTCATTTTACTTTATTTTTTTTTTTTGATTATTAAGTTTATTATGAAATTTATTTATTTCTGTTAATACTAAGTCAATTATCAATTTATTTAAACTGGAAAGAATGACTTGCTTGGTAATTAATATAAATTTCATCATCTAATTACTTAAAAAAGAAACATGAATATAAATGTTTAGATTATAATTAATCAGCTAAAGGTTTCTGAGTATCTTTAGTAAAAATGTTAATTTATTTAAATAAATTCATTCCTACCCCCTATATTAGGCTGATAATTGATATTACAGATAATTAATAATTTGAGAGCATTGTTAATTAAGACTATGTAAAGACTGATTGAATTTATTAATTTGTGGTTTAATCTTATTGATCAAATTAATAGATTTACGTAAGATTATTAATTAATTTATCTTAATCTTATGTAAATTAGAAAACAGCTAATGATTTTAACCTTTCTTTATTAATTTAATGGACTAATTATTTAATTCATTTTTTGGGTATGAGCTGTTCATAATACTTTTTATTATTTATAAGACCGCATTGCATTCTATGCAGAATATTTTAGAAATTTCGTTTAGCAATTTTTATTTTGAGAATATCTTTTATAAAATCATGAGAAAACATTTTATTTATCATAATAGGAAGGATTATTTTTCTTACCTTTATTATTATTATTTTATATTTTCATATAAATAATTTGTTATTGAATTGAATGAATGAAACATATATTAGAAATTTAGATTGTTTTAACAAAATTTACAATTATATAAAATAGATTTACATAATAATATATAAAAATAGATAATACTACCAAAAAAATGTTAACCTTTGGTGTAAATTTTTAACTCAATGAAACTTTTACTATTTTTGTTAACATATTGTAAGCTATCATTTAAGCATTAGTACATCATATACTTTTAAGATTCAGTGAAGATTTCAAAACAAATTAAATTCTACCATGAAAATTTAATGTACTTGAAAGTATAAAAGACCTTAATTTTCAAGTTAAGTCTTATGCTAAAAATTTTGTAAGGTATTAGAAAAGGTCGAATGCTGAAATCTCAATTAAAGTAATAATTTAGTGTAATTTTATTAATTTTCAATTATAACCATTTTAAAAATAATAATAAATAGCTTCAATCAATTTTGTATTAAAAACGATCTCAAAAAATTATTTGAATTATCATTTTCATTACAGATTTTCCTATGCTTTTGGTTGCTTTTTCCATTCGCGATATTAAAATTTTAAACTGTGATGATTTACTTCAAGCTTTGGATACAAATTATTAAAAACATTTGCATGAATTAAATATTTTAAAATAAGACGCATTTATATATTCTTGTTTGCTTCATTCGTTTCACCTTAATACCTCATAATTAATAATTACCTAAAAATAGTTTTTTTTAATTTCAGAAACAATGAATCAAAAATCTATGTTTAATGGGCGGACCAATTTTTTTCCCAATAAACACAGGTTTTACTGTAAATATAAAACTGTTTTAAATTATTATAGATAAATTTATAAATTTATTTTGATTGAAGTTAAAATTAGCAAAAATATATTTAGCACTTAACTTAATTTTTATATTTTACAGCTTTAAAAAGATATTTCTTTTATACATTTTGTTAAAATTCCTTTATTTATTCATTTTTTCTCTTTATTTTTGCTTTTTACTTTTATTATGATCTATCTATACTAAAATATTTTAAAATGATTGATATTATGTCCTGAATTATGAGGTAACTCTTGGTTATATTTCCTTTAACTTAGATTAATGCTTTAAAAATGGAATTAAAATTAATAAAAATAGGGATGTATTTTTCATGCTGCTACTATCAAAGTACTTAAAATAATTTTTTATAAAATAACCTCTAAAGTTAACCATCTAAATTTTCCTACTCTTGTATAGATTGAAAGTAATAAATGTACTTATTTTACTTTTTTATTTTGTTTTTCAAATTAAGAAGTCTTAGAAATCAAACCATTTAAGAATGGCTTAGCTCTTTTTACTAATCTAAATTATCAATCATATCCAAATTAAATAAAATGTTTTAACGTTTGTGTTAAAATTGAATAATATTTATTTTTTATAATTTTTTTAGCTTCTTATTCAAAAATAATATCTTGAATTATTAAATAATAAATAAGATATAAATTTTAAAAATGAAGTTTAGATGATTAATTATTTTAGAAATAAATCTAAATAAATAAATATGGTTTGATGTTTAAAAAACGAGTATTTTCAAATAATAAAATTTAAATTATTTTAACTAAATTAATTATTAATATAACTTCACCAATTAATTTTTGTCTATTAAAAATGATGAATATTAAAATATTTTTTTTAAAATAAAAAAGCTTTCAATATAATTAAAATATTTTCTTTATATCCTACCAAAAAAATCTTTTTAAATATCTTGTTTTTATATAAAATAAAAAAATTATTTCTATTTATTTATCTTGAAAAAAAAACTTCATTAATTTTAATTTTAATATTATGTTTAAAACTTAAAATTAAATAATTAATAGAGCATATTGAATTATTATCTTTTAAAATTTGCATTTTTAATTAATTAATAAGTTCAAATACAGAACATAAATATTTTAATTCAGAAAAATAAATAATAAGGAAATATTTAAAGAAATGTATATTCAGAAAAGATGAAGAGAAAGAAATATGGCAAATTATTACATTTTCAAAATATTAAATTAAAACATAATTATTATTAAGATAAAATTATGATATATATTAATTTATAATCATTAAGATATTAAACAAAATAAGAGAATTAAATTAGTTGAAAAAATATTTAATGGATTTGCAAATTAATCTTTGTATGGAAACTAAATAACATTTAATATAGGTTAAATATAATTTTTTTATCTATAAAACTGTAATAGTGACTCTAAACTTACAGAGTTGGGCAATAAGAAATTAAAAATATCAAATCACTCAATCAATTCACATTTACCAATTAAATTATTTTTCTATTAATTCTTTAAAAATTAAATTTAGAGGGTAGATAGAAAACAAACAATATAATAAATGAAAAATTATATTAAAATATATTATTTATTGTTTTGGCAGAAATCTCTATTTTTGGAAAAATAGAACATTTATTCATACCATTTCTGTTTTTTCATATATTTCTTCATCAGATTCCTCGCTTTCTTCATCACTAGATTTAGATAAATCTGTTAATGAATCTTTTGAATGATTAGAGCTATCTCTTTTTTTAAGTTCTAATACAAAATCCTTTTCACTATTATAAGCATTCGTAAATTTAGAGTTGGCTTTGATGGAAGAGACTCTTGTTTTGACAAAATTCTTTTTTCCCAATACAGAAGGTGGAGTGTTTTAAGTTTTAGGTTGACTTAGCTATTTTTATACTTAATCATATGCTATTTTAATATCAACTTTTTAGAGATACAATTAAGATTATGGCTAAGCTTATACTACAGTTACTGAATTTTAGTTCGTT